CACTGGTCTAGGACGCCGCCGACCTGGAGGTGTGAGTGGTCTCAAGACAGCTCCTCACACTAACAAATACTGTTCCACTGTACAACAGTTTTCCCCTCACTATATAATTTGTGTATCTTAGCTTTCGTCAACCTAAAACTGTTCTTTTAAGCATATATTTTTCTTCCTGTGATTGGGAGTTTCCTATATCCTACAAAGGTGTATATTTTCCCAGGAAACTTTGCTTTTTTTATTCGTTTTGGTGTAGAAAGTTTATATATAAAAAACATATTTTCTCAGCTTGTAAGTTCTTCTAGTTTTCTAGCACTTTATCAGTGTTCACTGTTCACTGTTCACTGTTCTTTACTCTCGCCTCTACTGTTACTAGTTACCTTAACTTTATCCCTCTATCCTTAACTCTCCCCCCCTCCCCCCCCCCACTACCCCCCTTCACCTCCCCCCACTACCCCCCTCCACCTCCCCCCACTACCCCCTCCCCCCCCCACTACCCCCCCTCCCCCCCCACTACCCCCCCCCCTCCCCCCACTACCCCCCTCCACCTCCCCCCACTACCCCCCTCCACCTCCCCCCCCCCACATACCCCCTCCCTCCCCACTACCCCCCCCCCCACCACCTCCCCAATTCAATGCAAACATTATTACCTGGAGGAATTTTCAGGGAGTCAGAAACGTTATGAAAACTGTCGCACCGTACATTATACTGTGTGGTATAGTGACTGTACACTGTGTGGTATAGTGACTGTACACGGTGTGGTATAGTGACTACAAAGCACACTATACGACACGTCATACTGTGTGATACGGTACAAGGGTCCACATGTAATACTGTGAAACGATATACGGTGAGACACAGTACACTACACCACACAAACCATAGAACATTACCATACAACACAGTACACAGTGTAAAGCAACACGGGTGACGCACAGTACTGCACAATTTCACAACCCAGAGCACTGCACAGTATGACACAGTAGACCCTTGACTGTGCATCGCATGACACATTAAAATATGACACATACATCACACGACACAGCGTGACACATAAGAGAGCCAGACACATGATACAGGACACAGACTGATTCACGACACAAGATTTACAATACACAGATTTAACCAAGATGTAAACAGTTTACAAGAACTAGCCTCCACCCCCCCTTCCTATCCCCCCCTCTCCCCCCTCACCTATCCCCCCCACCCCATCTCCCCCCCTCTATCTATCCTCCCCCCCCTCTATCTATCCTCCCCCCCCCACCTCTCCCTAGCCAGAGCTTTTAAGGTAATAGGAACATGTTTTTCCCCTCTCCCAATCCACCATTAAAGCCAACAAAAACACAGGTTTACAAGGTAGAGTAGCAGTTTACTCTAGTCTCCCTCGAGGTTTACCACACTCGTCCTCGTAAAGAGGCCGACCTTGGAGTCGAGGACAACGTGTATCTCGTCTAGACGTGCAATAATAAGGCGACAATTGTCGGATGAACAGGTGTTAATTCTGGATTGCAAGGAGATTTGAGCTCATTGCGTCGGGTTCCCCAGCGTGTGGGGGGGGGTAGTCTTGAGTGCATGATGGTATTCTTGAGTGCATGATGGTATTCTTGAGTGCACGATGGTATTCTTGAGTGCACGATGGTATTCTTGAGTGCATGATGGTATTCTTGAGTGCATGATGGTAGTTTTGAGTGCATGATGGTAGTCTTGAGTGCATGATGGTATTCTTGAGTGCATGATGGTAGTTTTGAGTGCACGAAAGTGGTTTTTGCACTTGTTAAGTAATTGTTTAACTTGAGAGCTTGGTGAATATAATGTTAGGGGAATACAAGGTGACTTAAGAGAGACCGGGGGGGGGGGGAGGGTAAAGTTTGGGGTTTACAAGGAGAGTCTCTGTGGGAAGGTGTGTAGTTGGCTGTGATGGTGCTCCACGGCCTGCACGGCGCACGCACACACACGCACACACACACCAGGGGCTCCGACCCGCACCACCGCCCGACACACACTGACATCCACACTTCCCGCAGATGCTGCTGCTGCTGCTGCTGCTGCTACTGGCGCTGCTGCTGCTGCTACTACTGCTGGCGCTGCTGACGCTGCTGCTGCTCCTGCTGCTGGCGCTGCTGCTGCTGCCTCATCCACTACCCCTCCCCCTCTCTACTTCCTCTTCCTACTACTTCTGTTCACCCTCTTCCTGAGGTATGACGTATTCCTGGTCTACCAAGCCTTATACACAACATTTCCTCTTTATCAACCTTATCCATTCCCCCAGAGGATCGTATATGCCGTTATCATGTCTCCACTATCCTGTCTCTTCACGTGTTGTGAGGCTTAGAGTTACCTCAAATTGAACTCTCCCACTTCAACCCTGGTAGTTGTGGTAGGATCCTGGACGCCACATATCCACCAGGACCTCTCCTTGCTAGATACTATGCTTCTTTGGATGTGGGGTTCCAGGGAGGGTCGGCATACTCCAGGCTGGCCATCCCATATGTCGGGCACAGAGCTCTGGAGGCCTCCTGGCCCCATCCAGGCTCCAAAATGTGTATACTCTAACGTTTATCTGTATCGCATATGTCATCATTGGTCTCTCTGGTGGTAGAGGTAGAGACTGGAGAGCAAGTGAGCTGTGGTGTCTGGCAGCAGGTGTGTGTGTGAAGCAGGAGCGGTACACATGTATACATAAAGGTACCAAGAGAGTGTGTGAGGCTCCACAGACGGCCGCATTAACCACCCTTCACCCACAGCTCCAGCAATGCATCATGGGATAATGAAAACATACTTCAACGCTCTCTGGCATACACCCCCCCCGCTCCCCCTAGTCATACAGCCAATACAAGATCATACATCAGCGTGTTCTCCAGGCCTAGCCTCATACTATCTCACACATGTGTTTATGTTTACAAAGATGAGCGCCCCCATCAACACAGCGGCTGTCCCGGGAACTACTAACCCCGGAGACTGTGGTGTAAATGATTGTTCAAGCCCCCTAACACAATCACCCCTTCTCTCCCCCCCCCTCACACACAACTCTTCGTTACTCATAAAAACTCATCCATCATCCACAAACCGTCAATAGGGAGAATGACACAGTAAAACACGCCGCAGAAGCCTGCGGGCCCGCGGGAAGACTGCGGGCGCGCGGGGAGACTCCGGGCGCGCGGGAAGACTGCGGGCGCGCGGGAAGACCGCGGACAGTAACTCCGCCACTTACACCTCTCCTGAAGCGCGGCCGCAAATGTATAAGAAAAAGGCTGAACACAACGGGAGGTTTCCGGCTGTGGGGGTGAGGGGGGGGAGGGGTGGAGGGGTTGTCTGGTTATTGACTGATGCTGCAAGGATGTGGTGTGGTGGTAGGTGTGGTAGGTGTGGTGGAGATATGGTGTGGTGTGGAGGTGTGGTGTGGAGGTGTGGTAGGAGGTGTGGTGTGCAGGTGTGGTGGCAGGTGTGGTGATCGGTGTGGTAGTGGTGGTAGGATACGCAAATAAGTGCCTCAACCAATCACTTGGATGGCAACCAATTGCCATCCAACCAGCCAGGGGGGATGACAATACCACCCAACACTCCACTGCCCGTCGCTCTGGGCACGACCAAAACTACCCAGCAACAACAATGTATACTTACGGGCTCACCATAGCCCGTGCTACATACACATTTCGTTCTGAAGAGCTAAGTCTTAAACAACAGCTGTGTTGACAGCTCTTACTGTCATCTGTCATCTGTCATCTGTCATCTGATCATCTACTGTCATCGCTGCATCACCTTATTTACAACAATTACTGAATATCAAGCAAGCAACACAAAGTTTTTCACTCTGCAGTATACACACACATATATACACAACATGGTATATACACATATATACACAACATGGTATATACACATATATATACACAAATGTTTCTCTCTCTCACCACCGCAGAATTCATTAACAATTCTTTTCAGTTTATAATGACTGGGGTTTCCAAGCTGTGAATGTAGTAGAGGCAGTCCCCAGAGGAAGGTGTAACTGTAGAGGCCTCTATTACCTCTATACATACACCTTAACACACACGAGTGTCCCTAACCTGTATACATACACTCCCATACATCTTAACACACACACAAAACTACCTCTCAGTCTTGGGAATAATAATCAGTCTGAAGGTCTTACTTTAACAAAACAACATCGGACTTCAAACATGCTGAATTAAGCTGTTGGGACGCGAACTTGGTTCAGCAATATGGTCAGACGAGTATCTGTCCGTCCAAGCCAAGACACTGCCAAGTGTTGGGTAGTATTAAACAGTTGCTACAGTAAACCTGAGGACTCCTGTCTCAGGAGTAAAGGCCTGGACGCCCGCTACCAGTCCAAGGTCTGGTCGACCCGGTACTGGTCGACCCGGTACTGGTCGACCCGGTACTGGTCGACCCGGTACTGGTCGACCTGGTACTGGTCGACCCGGTACTGGTCGACCCGGTACTGGTCGACCCGGTACTGGTCGACCAGCTTCACGCCACCACAATAAAAGCCTCTGATGGGACTTGCCAACAAAAATCAGTCTGCAATCGTTGTAACAATACTTTCCACCTGTGACGAAATATTTTCGGAAAGTCAATTTAACAGCAGTGAATACAGGCATTGTAAACTTGTTAAAACCTCCACGAGGCTTCTGGCGCAGAGATTACGGCAAGCGAAGATCGCTCTAATATGCACAAGATCAAAGGATGAAAATTGCGTGACGGTATCTAGATTGAGGTATTTACACGTTCGGGGCGTCGGAACCCCCAGAGATGGGACTTAAAGAAGGGGGGGGTGAGGTAGAGTGGGGGAGGGGGTGAGGTAGAGTGAGGGGGGGGAAGGAACTTGTTCTCTCAGTACAGTGCCAGTTCTCCCCTGGAGACTGGCACTGTAAAAATCACTGCCTCTAGGCACTGTAAAAATCACTGCCTCTAGGCACTGTAAAAATCACTGCCTCCACATTGTCACTTCTCCAAGAAACTTATTTAACTACAGCAGCTATTTTTGGCTC